CATGTCATGAACTAAAAATAAAGGGTATTCCTTGTCCTGGCATAACGCGTTTTTTAGATTAGACATGACATTAATTTTGTAGCAATTCCTCTGTTTAACAGAGACGTGAGATTAGTATTTTTGTCCTTTCTAACTACTAGTGGTAGTAGGTGTTGCTCCATGGTATGGTTTACATAAGCTGAAAAGCTCCTAGAAAGCTACAGCACGAATTTTTTTCCTCGTTTTCATATTCAATTTCTTTCCATTTTCCCCTTAAAATACAATGTTTCAAAATGAAACGAGATCTTGATGATTGACATGAGAGCATGATAATTTTTTAAACAAATTAAAATTATTTACATATATTAAGTGGGAGAAGGGGGAAGGAGGAAGGGAGAAGGGGATCCGTGAAAGTCAAAAACTTCACCCACAAGGGAAGTGAACGATTCTAATCTAAGATCCATGTCATTGGACCAAACCACGTTGTCCATGAGATCATGATAATTGACATAACAAGGAATGTAAATACAAATTTAGAGCATGATTCACCTAACCTTTTTTTGTTTTTTTTGTTTTTTTGGTAAAAGTTTAATGTAAAACCAAAACCAATAGCTTATTGGTTTGAGTAAAAAAAATTTGATTTTTTTAAATAAAATTTTAAATTCAAGTCTTATAAATGAAAAAACAAATGTTTAGAAAGTTTTTTCTTATAGTATTCAATGTAACTCAATTTCAGATTACTTAAACTTAATGTAATTTTTGAATATTAACAGATTTAATAACAAAAAAAAAAGTTTAGCATGAATAAATCTTTTCTTCTAGCTTACAACTTTTACTTTCTATTTCAATTAAAAGTCCTTAAAAGAATTGCATGCCAATATCAACTTTCACTTTTACAGGCTACTTTCTTTGATGAATTTCAAGTTTTGTGCATTTTTTAGACGTTTTTTTATCTTATATTATACAATAAAAAATATTTTTTTTATCATTTAATATGTTTCATTCATATATTATATAATTTAAATTTAATATCTTTTATTATTATTAAAAAAATTACTTTTAAATTATTTAAATGATTAACTGTGTAATTTAAGACAATTAAATGATTTTCTTCTTAAAAAGTCCTACTCACAAATGACGCACCACTTGGAGAGCCTCTAGCATTCATTTGTTTTGTATATAGGAAAGAAAAAAAAGGAGAAGGTATCGTGGGCAAGCGCGTGGGTCCGACGGAAACTTTCTGGTCTCTACACGTTCGGCTTAACTTAATTTTTAATCTATTAACTATCACCTTGATTTTATTTTAATCTAGTAATTATGTTTTATTTTTAAGTGGTCTATTAACTTTCATATTCATTTCAATTTCGTCTACTTGGTCAAAGATAACGGAAACTTCCTATTGTGTTAAAGAATTAGTTAGTCCTCTGACTATATTTTTCTTGATCTTTTAATCCTTAAATTTATATTTGTTATAAAAATAACTTTTTTACTTAAAATTATTATTTATAAGCTCTGATATCATATTTTTATATGAGTTTTCCTATTTTTTTAATTTGGTATCAGAGTCTAAAAGTTAATAGATCACTTAGAAATAATAATTTTAAGTATAAAAATCTGGTATCAAAGCTTAAAAATAATAATTTTAAGTATAAAAGTTATTTTTATAACAAATATAAATTTGAGGACTAAAAAATAAAAAAAATATAGTTAGAGGACTAACTATTCTCTAACAGAATAAGAAGTTTTCCGTTATCGTTGACCAAGTAGACGAAATTGAAATGAATCTGAAAGTTAATAGACCACTTAGAAATAAAACATAGTTTCTAAACTAAAATGAAATCAAGGTGATAGTTAATAGACTAAAAATTGAATTAAGCCCTACACGTTCACATTTGCCATTTGCCAATTGGTGCATTTTGAGCCAATTAAAAGAAAAATACAGGGCTTCTCCCCCATCATTGATTGGTTTAGTGCCATTTCCTAAGAGAGGTTATTTAGGATCGAAATTTTGGTTTCAAATATAGACACTCACTTTCCACCCACAAGTTGCCCTAGTTTAGAAAAAAAAAAAAAAAATACAAGGGTTCTCAACTTGGCTTACACAACTCCTTTTTTCATAGGATTAGCTTATACAACTTTTTTTTTTTTTTTTGAGTGGATTACAATTTAAGAAGAGGGGGATTTGAACCCTAATCTTAAAATTAAAAGGTACATATTATAAAGAAGCATATAGTTATCGAGTCATGAAACCCATATACAACTAATACAACTCTTTTAATTTCAATATAAAAACTCTTTCAATTATCAAATATGATTAGATTATATATCAAAAATTAATTTCTACCCTATCGGTTAACAATATTAATCTTAATTTGACTTTAACTTTTAAGACAAGAAAATTAAGTGAAAAATTAATGTAATAAATAAATGTCAATTATTTTTTTTTTATATGTGTTTTTAATTTAGTAGTTTCACTTCATTTATTATGTTAAATTTTCACTTAAAAATTTTATCTTTAAAATCAAATTAAAACTACTATTATTGAATAAAGAAATAT